GTGTAATGGGGCTCTGCGAGATGTGCTTATGCCGAATCAGTCGTGGAAGCGTTTTCCGGCCGTCACATTGAAGTGCCCTTCGCCATAAGGCGTTTTGGATTGTCAGGGAGCCGCTATCAGGCGTTTCAGATTGTAACTTTTTCTGTTGTGTCCAAGGCAAAGAACGCGCTTGAGACTCGCTAAATTGGATTTGAAAAGAGGCTAGCCTCTGGCGGAGGGCCCTCGTCCGCCGACAGTCGAAAATCTCAAAGTATACTACGAAAATATGTATTTGCGAAATTTGCTGGCCAGTATGTGAGCAGTGCAGGATGTTGAAGTCGTTGTCGAAGCGCCTCGCAGCCGTTACAGCTGGAGGCACCTGTTTTTCTAGGGAGCAGCTGACAATGGATACAAGATGATAGTGCATACGGTATATGCAGATGATCAACCACTTTACTTGCTGATCAGCACGGTTCATGAGCCGAGGCATATCCCATGAAACGGTCTGAACAAGCTGGCTCTATAAGGATGTTCACAATGAGGTTATGCTGATACTGGGACAGAGCGTGCGAGCAGTTGCCGACCGACCCATATTGTCTCCATTCCCATCACTGGCAGAAAACGGCATGTTTGCGACGCCAACTACGATGCCATTTTGACACAAAGTGATGCCGTCACAGTCTTTGCGATGGCATGAAAGTGGCTGCGATGGCATCAATTTGTGTCAAACGGCATCACAATTGGCATCGCAAACAGGCTGTTTTCTACTAGTGCATGCTGCGCGAATGCAGATTTCAAGTACGTGAATGCGTTCACATCTTTGGCTAGATGAAACCACTGTGGCCTGTTGGCCAACGTGAGGGGTGTGCTGCCGTAATGTCCGTCACCCTTTATGCCTGTCCAGAGATTCACCTCCGTCGGCGGACCCTCATCGTTCCGGGGGGCACATCATCCACACAGCAATACATCGTCTCCATCGCCGTCAATCAGAAATCATCGTATCGTCACGATCACTTCACAGCAGCGCGGCTCATCACCTTGATGTACGCGCAGTTGTCTGTGATTTTTGACCGCCAGTCACTCCAAGCAGTGATAACGTGATTGCCGTGGTCGCACTGGTACCCGGTGCCGCGTGCGCCATGCAAACACATGGAAAGTGGTTTTGGCGTCCCTTGCAGGCCGGCTTCCGCAAACAGCGCACCCCTCGCTTCGTGTCTAGTGGCAATTGACACCAACCTTTCAACGGGGCCCGTCATGCAAACACATGGAAGGTGGTTGGGACACAATTTTCAGCCCGGCTTCCGCACACGGCACCCGCTGTAGCGAGTACGAGGTAGCCACGTCGGTACCAGCGGCCGTGCACGCGTATATATTTGTTAGGCCATTCGCGCAACCGCCCTCTCCAGTGCTTCTCGAGCCAACAACACGAGCTGATCGCCGGTCCCCCTTGGCACGAAAGAAGCCTGTGGACACTCCTGGGGGTGTTACTGCCTGGCCCCCTTGCTGTGGTGGTGCATTCCAGCGGATCCGTCCGACAGTGAGGTAAGCTGTGAGTGTCCGGTGCGCGGCCAGAGCGACCCATCGCCGAGGTTTGAGCCCGCTGCACGCAGACCAGTCCAGAAGCCGGGGTACCGCTTCCGAACGAACATCCTGCGCAACTCCGCGCCTCGTTGGCTGCCGTCACCGTGTTCCAGCCGGACGACCAATCTTCGAATCAACAGGGTGCCCCGTCTCTTTGGTCGCGCGAGCCTGAACCCGATGCACGGGCTGTCCAGGGCTGCCCAGGGAGCAGCCGGTAGCCATGGAGTCGCTTGTCAAGCGAGTCGTTCGTTATGGCCGCCCCAGCTTGTGCCGGACTTCCTGCGCCTGCACCATTCTGTCGTAAATGGCGGAGCGACGCGGCTGCCCCGCCCGGTGACAGCTTTGCACCGCTGGCTCGGGAAAGACTGGAAGCGCTGGCTGCAAACGCGCGAACGGACCCACAAATATATAGGTATGCGTGGCTGTTGGTCCCGAGGCTGTGGAAGCCGGACTGGGAGAGTGTCCCGACCACTTTCATGTGTTGCATTGACGGGCCCCACTGCTGAAGGCGTGTCCTTGGCCGATGGCTGGGGGAGGCGTTTGGAGGCCGGTCAGTGCAAGGGGGTGTGGTGCTCGAAGTGCAGAATACCGAAGTGCTGGTTGGTGGCACTTTGCGCACGCTTGCCTGGGTATCGCGAAGTTTCGTTGTGGGCCTGTAGACAAGGGATCCCTTTCGCGCAGGCAGCGAGCTCTGGTGCCGATCCAGCATCCACGACAGCAGCCTCACCCCAAGACGTGAACTGTGTTTGATCATACGCAGCTGCGGCATCCACTGACGACTCCTTGTCGCCACCGGGCGGTGCACGCGGTGGGCGCTGCTTCAACGACCACGCCCTAAGAAGGGCAGCACACGCGCAATTCGTCCTCTTTAGAAAGTTCCCCCTTTGCCAGCCCGGCGGATATAGTAAATAAATGGGCCCCGCAGGTCGCGCCCTCGCCTATCGCTCGCGTCACCAGCCTCTCCAAGCAACAGGTAAGGATTGATTGTGGGCGATAGGCGCGCTTCGCTTTCCTCGTCTCGTTTGAGTTAGCTGCGGGGCAGCGCTTTGAGGGATGCTCTCAGGCGCCAGCGCAATGGCGGTACCTGACTGGTACCCGCGAGGGCGTTGAGCGCGGTGACGGGACGAGCCCTCTTGCGCCCACATCCTAAAAAGCGAACGCGGGGATGCTGACCTTATTTTGTGCGTGCGCAGGAGAGGGTGCTCACAGGCGAGGCAGCCGTGAAGAGGAAAGCCGCAAGAGGCAGCGCGCCACGCGACGAAGACAAGACACACCAGCCGGCCGCGGGGTATAGCGCCAGGTGAGGAGCACACCGAGTGGCAACAGGTGAGGGGCAGTGCTCCTGGTGCCACGTCGCGGCCTCCTGGTGGCCATTCGCCGGTGGTCTTGCCGCCTGCACCTCAGATGCTCGATTCAGCCTTCGACGTCGCCTTGCCCGCCTTCCCGCCATCTGGCAGCGCGCCTACCTGCCTTCTCGCCTAGCCCCGTGCCCGGCTGCTCGCCTCCCCGCCTCCCCTCCCCGCTTCCCTCTGGGCCCCCCTGCCATGCCGCCTGTCCGCATCGCCCCCCGATGCCATTTCCCCCGCCTTGCCTCCTATGCTCAATTCAGCCTTCGTCATCGCCCTGCCCGCCTTTCCGCCATCTGGCAGCGCGCCTGCCCGCCTTGCCGCCAGGCGCCGTGCAAGGCTGCTCGCCTCCTTGCCTCCCCTTCGCCCTTCCCCCTGGTCCCCTTATGCCGCCTGTCCACTGTTTCGTTGGCATGTGCCAGTGAATGTGATGGTGGTGGCGGCATGGTGCATACAGTGCTGATTGAGTCAGCTAATCCAATGAGGCATGGATTGATGCAGTGATGTTAGCGGTGTGTGGTACTATCGTAGTGGCAACCGGGAGCTGTGGTGAGATGAAGCAGACAGCAAATTCAACCGCTGCGTACGTGTGCACTTAATTCCTAGGCAGCAATGTACAGCCTTGAACGCTGACTGTTTGTGTTAAAACCTGCGAAGGAACGTGGGACTGATTGCCATGGTCGCCATGGTTGTCGTAGCGGTCCTAGTGCCGCTCTTTGGTTGTGGGTCTTGTCATGATAATCGTGACGGCGACGACCATGGTGAGCGTCATGATGAGAGTGACATTGATGACTAGGTGGTTGGATATTGGCATATGCTGTGCTAGGCGCACTGCTTCGCTTGTTCGACTGTGATGTCTCTGACTTGTGTGTGGCCGCTGGTGTGGCATGCAGGAGAACAAGCATTGAGTACAGAGCGGATTCAAGTGCTGCATCTAATGTTCAACATCAGGCGCTGCATCGAAAGCTGGGAGGCGTCCTGCAGGTGTGTTGATGGAGTTGCAGCAGTGGTGGGCCCGGGGGTCCGCAGGTGCCCATGGTCCGTGTTTTCATTAATTTGGTGCTGGTCGTGGTGATGGTCATCGTGTGGGTCATCATCAGAACGATAGCGATAGGCAACTGCAGGCACATTGACATACGGAATGCTGACGGACTCGGCTTAATCAGCGACACATTGATGGACGCAGTCAGTGACTGATGCACACTGCACATGCATTCCATTACCAGCTCTGCCTATGAAGTCTCTGAAGCACGTGTTGCCAGTGAATGTGATGGTGGCAGCCATGGTAGCTGGCATGGTGCTGATTGAGTCAGCTAATCCAGTGAGGCATTGATTGGTGCAGTGATGTTAGTGGTGGGTGGTACTACGGTAATAGCAAAGGGGAGCTGTGGTAAGCAGCACATGCATTCGAGATGAAGCAGACAGCAAATTCAACCGCTGCGCACATGTGCACTTAATTCCTGGGCAGCAATGTGCAGCCCTAAACACAGAATGTTTATGTTAAAACCTGCGAAGGAACGTGGAACTGATTGTCATGGCTGCTATGTTTGTGCACGGGCGCAGCGCACTACTGCGCAATGCACAGGCGCCCCGCTTCCCGCCCGCTTCCCCCCCCCTCCGTTCCCGGGAGAGAAATCAAGTTATCTCTCGTCGCGACGCCTGTCGCCGCGCCGCGCCGGCTGCGCTTCCCTTGGCCGAGACGAACGTTTTCACGCACGAGAACACTCTTTGCTGTTGACGTTGAGTTACCGATAAAGCATTTTTAAACCTTGTGAACAACAAAGGAAAGCATCAAGCACACGCATACCTGCTCTTCGTTGTTGACGCTGGGTTACCAGTGAAGCGGGCCTAGCCCTTGCACGAGCGTCTAAGTGCCACACGCACACATATTTTCAGGTTAGCGGTAAAGCGGGCCTGATCCTAGGATTGCCGGTAAGGCGGGCCCTGTTTTTGTTCAGCGGAGAATACACAAAATTTGACTGATTGCATTCGGCTGCTGCAGTTGAGTGGAGGCTAAGCGCTGCTCAACGACTGTTGCTGGTGGAAACCACAACCTTGCTCGCAAACACTATAGGAGCTGAGGAGTTGGCCGTCATGTCGATGGACATCGTGATGCCACTGGGCGTTGGTGCTACCAATGTGGTGATGGCAATGGTCGTGCTTCTCATGGAGATTGTGATCATAGCTTGCTATAGAAGCATCTACGCAGACTGGGCTAAGGGTCAGGTGAGGAAAGGGAAAGGATTCAAGGGGCCATTCAACGTTTCCACACCAGAAGAAACGGTGCTAGAGATAGTCTGGCATATGAAGTGGAGTGAGCACAAGGTTATGTTGCTCAACCTGTTGGCTCTGAGTGGATTGATGATCGGGGGTCTGTTGCTAGCTGAGTCAAGCATAAGTGCTTGTGATGTAACATTGGTGGAGAATGCAGCCACTAAGAACTGGAACGAAGACTCTGCATTATCCCCAGGTCGGAGGGAGGAATTGTTCCGTCAAGTGATCGACGATCAAGTCACATTGAATGAGTGCAGGGGTGTAGATATGTCTGACATGACGGAGCTCACTGGTGAATGCTCACAAGCTGCTAGCATTCCTGCCCTATATGCAGCAGCCGTCAAGAAGATGAAGGGGAAGGAGACTCCTAAAATAGAATTTACAAAGATAGATCAAGATGACGATGTGGATGTAGACTTTGTACTATATGGAAACCTGGTTGTGCAGCCAGTGACTAATTCACATGTGAGATCTGTCGGCCATCAGGCGAATTACACCTTTAGCAAATGCCAACTGGAAGGTGGAGACCCATTGTCAGCAGATCCAGCAAGGCCATGTGGACCAAAAGAGCAAGAAGTTGTTGAGCTGGAAGTCTATCGAGGTACACCGGGTTACGATGGGGGTGATCAGGTATTTTTGGTTGAGCAGGCGTCAGGCAATTGGTCCATTGTATTAAACTGGGATTCGGAGAATACAACAATACCATTGCATGGGTTCAACTGCAGCCGTATGGCAATACATCAGGGTAAAATTGGAGCATGCATGCGTCATAAAAAACCAGCCCCAGTGCAAAATGAGACGTTGCTAGAAATGCTACGACCGTACCTGACGATGGTGGATTTGATGCGATCGGACGTTGTCATTGTAGACTTCTGGCATCGGCAGGGATTGCAAAATTTGACCATTGCCCGAGAGGATGGAGTGTATTGGCTCTCATCATACGTAGTAGCAAATGCTTCCACTGAGTTGGGCTGGGATGACTCATCTCTGGAAGTTTTGGCCAGTATGATGGAGAATGTTGCTGATGTCTATCTCAATGGGGATGGAGCAGATGCATCTACAGGAGCCGCGGCAATCGCTATGTATGCTCTTGGATTCATGTTGGCAGGAACAACTATCATGGACGTTGGAAGGTTCGAAGCTAGGGCATGCATCGAATTAGCTGATTGGTCCTTGCTGACAGCCTTGTTGATCTTTATGGGCGCCATAGCCGTGATGGCCAGGATTGCTGCAAGAAAGGAGACTGCAGTGCATATGCCTATGACAGCACGCTCATGGTTCAACCTAGGCGCAAGAGAGCAAGACATGGGACATGAATGCAACAGGGAGTGGAATGGCCATCCATATGTCTATGGGCTTGCGACCACATTGGAAGGTGAGCAGCACATAGGATATACACAAATCCCGGAGCCTGTGAATGTGGAGCTGCAAATAAGGTCTTGCCGTAAGCAGCAATCCTCATGGAAAGGAGCATCCTGAGGAGCACGTGAGCTCAATTAGGGAAGAATCACAGTTCGGGAGCAGCCCCTCAGGGAGACATGCATCAATAGGCAAGATTGCTGAACAGGAGCATAGGCTGCGCCAGGTGCGTGTCAAACAAGAGAAGCAATTGGAGGTACATGCGACAAGCTCTAGGAACGCGGATTCCAAATTTGGATGAGAATCATCTGCTTCCACGATTTTGTCAATGCTGCAGCTCGATAGTAGAGCTGGGAAGCTTAATTATAGAGCATCGGTGGTATAGATGGTGCTGGACATACCGGATCAGGCGGATCTACAGGACCCAGAAGCCATACACATAGTTGGGGTTGAAGGACAAGCAGAGGAGCAGAATTCTGGTTATGTGGAGAAACATACAGCAAGAAGTAGAACAAACACTAACACTGAGTGCATAAAGCATGTAGTAAAGGTGGGAGAGCTCCTAGTGAATTTGTTGTTGGAATTGCAGCCGTCTTGGCCAAGGAACTCTTGTATTCGCAACATGATTTAGTAGCCGCCATCTACTCAAGGATATTGGGCCAGAGCCGGGAAGAATGTAAGCACGCATGTCGCCTGCAACTTCGAGATGTTGGAATTGACCATGTACATAGCCACTGAATTGCAGACAGCGTCACTTGAACAGCATCCTCGGCGTTTCCATACTCGCTTGGGACTGGTCATGGGGAAATATATGCGAATCATTCGCGCTGCAGTGGATCTCTCCTCAAAGGAAGACTATTGTGTGGCTGCGTGGATCACTCTGCTGGTGTTTATACACAGCACACTCGCACCGCCAGTCGGAAGGCTACCACTTCTTGAGGCCGCTGCCAGGGGTGTTTCAGAGGCTTCGAGAATGTTCAAATTCTTGGCCCAAGTCGAAGAAGTTGAAAATACTGCCGTTTGCACAGAATCCATTCGATATTTACAAAAAAATGCTTGCTTCCTCTGCTTCACATTCACTAGGAAAACGATGGGCCAAATAACCCACATGTTCAAACGTGTACAAAATTTATTAGTGTGGGTTATTTTCGTGCTTGTACATGCAAACCACTGATGAAATGCATACTATATAATAATGTATATGAAAATATGGGTTTTGTTCATCATAAGCACATATCGAGACTTGTAGCTCTTCGATAACATTGGCTTCTGTCGAAAATGAAGCTTGACTGAGCCATGTTTCGAAACACCAAATAGTGATCCACTCAGTACGGGGAACGCATTCGCGAATTGAAATTGTGTATAGAAATAGCAATGGAAACAGGCTACTTGAGAGTACATACATTGATGCTGATGTACACAACGTATTATTTCTGAGAAATTTACACCTTAGGCACTAAGCTCTGGTATAAATAAACTACAGCAGTCCCCCTCTAATAAACGCCCATGATATTATAGACTCATCTAAGGAATGCCTATTCTACACATCCTTTCTGGTTGCAGCCATCATTTTGTGCATGCGTCACAATTGAGGTAGAAGCAGAAATACTGCGCAGCAAGATCGTTTGATCAGGTGGCGCAAGATCGATTTGAGATTTGAGACAGCACTTTGCAATCCTTATTACCACTTCCCAGTCCTCCATCCTGCTATCAACCCAATCGCGAGAATGCGCTGCACTCGTGAAAACACTTGGCACTCAGGGTGGAGTCACGGCTAGTATTGGGTTATGTTGTGCAAATCGAATGGGCACGTTTTGAAGCGGATTGCCTCGGGTATTGTGTGCAGATCGATGGTGGACACCATGCGCGATTGTATGTAATGTCTTGTCATGTGGAGAGCAACTTAGGAAGGTGGGATGGGCGCGGGAGATGAGGGCGGGGCGCTGTGGTAGGAAAGAATCGGCGAAAATTCAAATTCATTCCAGTCGCATAACGTCAGCAGGAGTCGACCATGGTATGCGAAATCAGGCTTGCCAGGCATGCCAATCGGAATAACAGCCATCGCCATTATTGCATTTGTATCGGTATGCTTGGCATTGACCAAAATGCCTTGCGCCTCGGAAACTGATACATGACAGCTGAAAATAGCTCTATGTTCTTCTGATGGTTTTTGAATAGCGAAGCGAGAAGTAGGTGGCCAGTGTTGCAACATGTCCAGGGAAAGCTCACAGTGGTTGGCATTGATCGGCTGCATTTTAACGATATGTGCTTCCACTGTCAAGGTTGAAATGCTTGCGTGTTTTTTCCACATGCGCCTCTTCAAACTGTCGGTGTATGGGCCTTGTGCCACAGTACAACCCCCATTGTGCGGTAATTGTATCTTTTGCCCCTGGATGGCCAGTACATTGCAGTACTATTGGTACCGTCAAGGACAACAAATAGGTCAAGTGGCGATGCTAGAAAATGTTCATGGTCGTATCATGGCCAGCAATTCTAACGATCCTCTCAGATTCCAGGCGCGCCGCAGTCGGACTGAGCAAAGCAAGAGGCTCTTCAGCGCACTGCAGCTGCATTTCCCACTACCTGCACGTGCTAAGATCATCCGAGACGTGCTGTGGACCAACTGCATCTCACAAAACAGGGAATTCCTCACGGAAAGCGGCCGCAAATTGCAATGGTCTGAGCTGTCCTGTGACAGGAAGATCCAGCCTTGATTCCTCTGGAGGCACACGCACCTTCATGTCAACAGTGTTTGCAATGTTTCCACCGTACTTTCGTTGCAGGTATTCAGAAAGCTGGTGCATATCCTGTCCTTTGGGAGGTCTCCATTATTATTCCTTGCAGTAATGGGTGCTCCTTCTGACACCAACAATTTTGCCACTTCCACACTCCCGAACACCGCTGCTTCATGCAAAGGTGCGTCTCCATTGACATCCACGGCATTGATATCAGCTCCCGAGTCAAGCAGTGCGCTGGCTACTCTTTCTGCATTTTCAACGGCTGCCTTGTGAAGCGGCGCCCACCCGAAGAAACACCTTGCGTCTGCGTTAGCCCCAGCTGCCAGCAATGCAACGGCCACGATAGCGTTGTCGTTGAAGGTAGTCGCATGGATCACAGTGCAATCAGCCATCAAAGCAAATGCGGTTACCTCAGGGCAGCAGGACAGAAGGGCATTGGGATCTGCCCCTTTCATGAGAAGGTTATCAACTGATTTCTTCGTTCCAGAAGCTTCCGGCATTTCCGCCAGCAATGCCAATTCCTGAAGAACCAGCCAAATGTCAATCGCTCACCCCAGTGGATGCGTTATTCCTAAGTTGCGCATGTACTGCAATAAGAACAAAAAAGAAAAAAACACTCAGGGTACCCAACCTCTGCCAACATTGACAAATTTGGTGAATTTGGGGTGGTCAACACTCGATACGAAAGAATCTCGTGGACTTCGTCAAGCTACCACCAAAGTGGCGGTTCCTACCAGCGTACCGACAGCCCCATATGGCGCCATACATTGGGTTAGGGAGGTCAGATAAAAAGACCAGGAAGGACAAAAATTGGAGGCAGAACTCCCACGGAGGCAAGGAAGCCAGCGATAAACAGATGTCGGCAGATACTGGCGAAAGTTGAGAGGCCAAGACGCCGCGAAGCCGGGTAGAAGCTGAGATAGGAAGGAGGCCTGCCGAGATTGTGCGGGAGGTCCTGCAAGAACCGCAGAGAGCGCGGAGACTCGGACGCTGAGAAGCCCCCTTCTCCCCCCACGCTGATGTTGGCTAAGGCTGGACCTCTTCTCGGCAAACAAAATGTGGATAAGTGATAAACTTTTTGCAACAGAGGTAGTACAAAACCATCACGCATGCCGTAGTGACAGCAGCAAATTACAAACGGAAATAGCAAGAAAAGAGTAGTAAAATCCTACTTCACCGTGATTCTGCTGTGTGACAGTGGCTATTCGCCACTAAGTTTGATGGGATGGTAGGATGCTATGCTCATCACCAACAACATAAATGCCACGAGCTCTTTTGGCAAGTAGGCATCGTTTGCGGCTCCCACCTTATTGAGTTCTTCTTGCTCTGTTCTGCTTGCATTTGCAGGAGGGGCACCCAGCCCTTGAAACTGTCGAGGCAAAACAATAGCATCAGCACGCACATTAGCAATCACATGCACAATACTGTTCAGGACATTCGTGTGCAATGGGCTTTCCATGTTCCCACGTGGCCCTATAAAAGCGCATGGCGCCCCTAGTCGAGCCAATGAGTGGTGGCAAGCTCACCTGAAAAGAGAAGGGGGCATTTTCTGGCGGAGAGGCAGCAGAGGCCTGCATAGCACCGAACAAGCTTGTTGCACGTCGACCGACAATCAACACCCGTGCCCAACAACGCACTAGACCACCAGCGCATTTGTGCGACAACGTTGCATTGATCATTTCTAGAGCGACGGTGATTAGAGGTTGATAAATCAGCAAAGTCACAACTATCTGCATGTCCTCTGGCGCCCACATGAGCCCCTCACCTCCGAAGGAGTTGGTTCGTTTACCCGTGGAGAAGGCACAGGTACCTGCACAGATGTCAAACAGGGTCGCCGCATGCTTCAACAGCTAACAGCCCACAGCATCACTACAGTATGCCTAGCCGTCCGCCTAATAAGGCTGAGGCAAGCCATGGGCTTTTGGTATCCCGACACAGGAGCTTTCTGAGCCTTTCAACTACCCGGTAGAAAAGAAAAACAGCATCGTTATTCTAAAGCGATGAGTGCAACCTGGTACACGGCATTTGGGAAAGGGCCTGTATGCATAGAGACGAAACTTACTACTCAGCCCACAGTGCATCTAAAATAGACGCTTAGCTAGCATGGCTGCCAGTACTTCGACCGTGTTCTGACCGTAATACAATGCTTGTGGCCGAATTCAACACCTGGCACAAATGCCGGGTCAACCTTTATACTTAGTACGGCCAACAAATCTGCACCAGACATCCAAACCCATGGCATCCATTCGCATCGTCGCGGCTACCCAGCACTGCAGCCTACAGGCCGAACAATTGAAGGCAAAGCAGATGTCCAGAGGGTGCAAATACACTAAAAAGCCGAAGCACGTACTTCCTTGGGAGGCCTTTGCCTCGTTATTCATT